AGTAATTTTCTGAAAATTGTAAGCTATGTTTTCAACTTGAGAGATGAATGCAATGGCATAGCTTGAAGCTTCATGTGAATAAAAACTAAACATAAGAAATGTGTTTAACTAATTCAACCACCGATTACATTTAATGAAGCTAAGGAATACGAATAGTAATACAATTTTCTTCGCAAGAAAACCAAACTTAATCATTATGAAACTAATTACATTTATTTTAAATAAATAATGGCCAAAACGTTTTTAGGCCCTTATAATGTTATGTGTAACACTAATTTTGTGAGAGTTTATTGGTCTAACACAACAATAGCCATTTCTTAAGTTGTTATCGACACATTTTTCGAAATGATTATTTTTTCACAATTTGTTCTTTCATGTCTTGATACTTTGATCGACAAATAATATATTTCACTAATAATAATAATTTATTATTCATGAATCAAATATTACAGAATGTGTCGTTACGGTATGTTTTTTGTGATTTGCGTAGTTTTGGATTCGCCAAATTAAAAAACAATATACTAAACAAGTTTTCAACCTACAAAAATACAATACAAAAATAAAAACTCCAGGTGTGGCAGCGATAGATAGATGTTATTGAAAAAAGCTGATTGGATTAAAAATGTTACATCATCGAATTTTAAACCACCTTTAATAGATGTTGGGAAAACAAGCTGGTCCGATTAATGAACGCTATTTCATTATTTTCAACAGTTTCCACTTTTCGTTCATAAAGAATCACGGAATGTGAATAGTATTACAATTTTCTTCCCAAGAAAACTAAACTTATTCAACATGGAAGTAATTAATATTTTTTCACAAATTGTTTTTCAAGCTTTAATACTTTGATTGACAAATACTATATCTCGCTACTAATAATAATAAATGTATACCTCAAAAAGGGACAGTTCTAAAATGTTAATTGAATGGTTCGGGAGTGGAATTGTGATCAGTGTATGTTATTATTCATAAATCAAACATGACAGAGAGTGTTGCGTGACACGTATGATTT